CAATACTTTCCTAACGAAAACGTGAGGTAATGCGTTTAACAGTAAATTATGCAATTTTATTTCAAATATTAGACAAAATAAAAACCTGAATTTTATATAAAAAAATCCAAGCTAAAATTGCGTCTATTTTTTTGAAACTTTAACCTTAATCGAACTACCATATCTTGGCACAATATATTTTGATTCCCTTTTCATTTAATTCCACTTAGAGGTAACTATTTATTTATTTATTGTGACTTAAAATAAACCATGAGTTTAGATCCTAGACTTACATATGTGCATATCAATGTTATTAAAATAACTTTTTTTAAATTAAAACTCGTTTTAAAGATAACTATCGATTCGATTTTTAAAAATATTTATTTTCCGCCTTATTTTGAATTAACTCCCTAACCATAAACTCGGATAAGTTAAGAACCGGAAAGATTCTTAATCTCCTAATGAAAACAGCTGCTTCTCCGGCATTGAAAGAAAAAATGAATTCGCATGACAAATTGTGTGGGTTAAACTTCCAGCTTATTCACTTTACCGAAAGAAATTTCTTCCTTTTCAAATAAACAGATGCTTATTTTGCAATAATATTATCCTCACTTAAGCAATAATTCGAAATTATTTACTCAAGATTTGAACATTTTTATAATAAATTGTTTTAGTTACTTAAAAAGCACAGAAAGAAGTGTTTGCACGCAATGAGATATGCCTTCATTGCCACACACACGCACATAAACTAATATTTGTATTTGATAAACTGTTTGCCCACAATATTTAAAACAATAAGAATCAGCTGACGATTTGAGCTAAATAAAGTCAATCTCTTTATTAATTGATTTAAAAAATTATAAATGCCATATTCGTTTTAAAGAAGATCTTATGATAATTCCTTCATTATTTTTTAGGTCATTATACAAATATTTGTTCAATTTATTTTCTGTTTTAATGCATTATTGCGAAACATTAAATTATCTGAATTAACTTCAACTTCTTAAAATCTAATTGTTTGTTATATTAAATGAAAATGTTTTGTAAATTCAAATAATCAAGTGCTTAAACGCATAATGACGACATAATTATTTGAGAAAAATCCACGTCAGACTAAATATGACTGCCACTGAGTTTAAAAGATGCTTATTATTGATCTATCAATTAATAATTAATGAAACCTTTGTCGTATAGAAGCTAACAAAAGTCACATATATATATTTAGATGTATATAATTAAATTATTTTAACAAGACACCGATATTTGACGTTGTTTAAATGAATAAGTCAATGAATGGGGTAATTATTGCAGGCAACACAACTCAGAGATTATTTAGCTACCACTTAGCTTATGCAAATATGTACCTAAAAATAAAAGTCAGTATAACTCATGGCAATTATGGAAGCAATTGGTTAAGAGAGACTGAACAAATTACCAAAATTGTTGCAGTCAGTTACAAAATGTTGCTATGTTTTAATTTTGAACTAAGATTCGAGTTGCAAAATATTTACTGAATGATCAGTTTACGCTCCCACGCAATAATAGTAAAAAATCCGTTTTCTAAATGGTAACAAATCCCTGTCTATCACTTTCAGTGTTCTTTGAAAGCCCCTATAACTTTTAATATCAATTAATTAAATTGGAATTCCAAAATTTTTTGTCCCATTAATTGACAATGTGGAATCTTATTTATACATTGTCGTGTAAAAGGATTTCATTAGACACCTATTATGCCGTTCAATCAGTGTAGCACCATTAAATGAAGGTAAAAGTGACTTACTGAATAAAAAACGGAAGATAATAAGTGATGCTGTAAAACGGATTTCTTTGATTAATATATTCGTGAAATTTAATTGTATGTAGGAAAAATATCGATTATTTAAGTCTTTTAGATCCAAATTAATTCATGTTTGAATAAATCCAACACGCTGATAGCTTTCCAATCGGATTGTTGTTCCAAGTCTTGAAATTAGATTTGGCGAAACCAACTTCAGATGATTGGAATTATTGATTTGGACTGAGATGAAAATATGATATAGCGCGTTGATTCTAAATCCAAACTCCACACCCTTTCACAAACCCCTTTCTCCCCCCCCCCCCCCCCCCCCCAACCTATCCACCTATATGTACGATTTTTAAATAATATAATTTTTTCCCAAATTTAAAGAAATTTTTGAACTTAAAATGTCAAAAAGGTATTAAAGATACGTGTAAGACGTTGGAATAAGAATTGAAACTCATTTTAATCTTTAACTTTACTAGGGTGGTTTCTTGAAAATTTTATTAGTGAAATTACATTATTTATAGCTTAGTAATAATTTTTCACGTTCTTAAAATAGAAATCTAATCTAATCTAAAATTTATTCGAAAATAAATGTATATTTTCCGGAACTTTGTATAAAATAGATATCACATTTTTATTAACATTTTTATAATGTCACAAACTGGAATTGGATTTATTCAATAAAGAACAAAATTATTGAATTAATTTAACAATAATGTAATAAAGAATATATTAATAATTACCTAAATGTTCAGAGGTTTATATATTTTAGAATCAGATAACAGTGGGCATTTCATTTTTCAAGCCCATCAGTACTGAGGTTTGACAAGTAAAATTGCATATAATAATAATAAAATTTGAAAAGCTATAATATTTGTCACTTTATTGGAATGGTCACCACAGTTTTAATTATAAGGTTTTATCATAAACCGTAGTGATCACGCTCCTTAAATCATAAATTCAATTTGACCATCATTTAATAAAAACCTTGATTACATATTTATTATATCTTAATTCCAATTTATTCCAAAGATGACTTAAATTTTTAGGTTATCCCGTAGAAGTGGAGTTTTCGAAATGTAAAAGGAACTGGGTCTGAATGATTTAAACTTAGAATGAATTGGAATAGTTAATTGTGCTTAACTAAAACTGATTCGCGGTTACCGTGGACTTCACCTCATCAATAGACGCAAACCTTAATAGCGGTTTAAATTTTATAACTATTGATTTGAGTATTTTACACCGTCTTAAAGAAGACAGTCACGACATAATCAATGACATTTAAAAAATATGTATAACCTTGAAGTTTACTTGCCATCTTATGCATCTCTAGATGAATGAAGATTATTTAGGAATCCAACTTCTATGGAAACAACTCCTATGCGCTATCGATCATTTTCTGACAAATGAACAGAAATAGAAGGATTTGTTGGTAGAAGCATTCGAAAAGTGGGAACTAAAGGTCAAAAGGAAATTTAACTGCCTGTGGTTATTATTTATTTGTTTATATCAAATGGTAGGCGCTTTGATAGTTATCATTAGCCCGTTAGTTGACTTCAGGCTTCGCAAAGGGTAGGCGCATCAAAGTGAAAAAGAGTCGAGAGGGATGGGGGAATGGAAGAGGGATTCAAAGATGTAAAAGAGACAGACACAAGGGTAGATAAAAGGAAGTAGTGGAATATGACACAGTGGAGTAAAGGTAGCTTGAAGTCAGAAGTCAAGCGCCGGTTAATAGACTTTTTTTGTAGTGTGAGTAAACGTTGCCCAGGGTGCACTACGTGGAGGCGAGTCTATCGCACACCTACTTGTGGTTATTGGTAGATGATGTGAAGAAGGGTGTATTTGCTTTTGATTACGTGCGTGTGTTCACATACACACACACACACACATATATATATATATATACATTTGAGAGAATGAAATGATATTAAGTCAGTAAATTCAATTCCATACATTTCCTTGAGAACTGATGTTAGTTTCGAAAGAGGCTTAAGGTCAGAGCATGGAACTAAGCTCTGTGGTTTCGAAGAAAGAATGTTTGAGGTACCATGTCGCCAAACCTGTTTCACTGAAGAAAGGAACGATTTATTACAGAGAAAGAAACGAAATTAAATCTATAGTAGCGGCAATCAAAATTTAAATTCCAACTTTAATGCACTCCGCTTTGCTTATTTTAAATTAATTGTAATCCGACGTTAATGCTAGTCCAATTTTATGTTAGAGATAATCCCAGATTCAAATTAATTTAATGGAAATACATTTTACGTTTGGTCAAAAAGGGGGATTTGATTAAATGGCTCTACCCCGAACCAAAAAAACTAAATTTTATTTTGCTTTCTGAATTCAAGTGTAGTTTGTTATTAAACATTAAAATGAAATAAATTTTAATCCTTCCAAGTTTCAATTAAATTGAATTCTATTTTTCATTGGACAATGCTCGCTTAACTATTCATCCAAATAATTTTCTTTGTCTAATGCCTATCTTTAAATTTTCCAGGCTAAATAATGCCCACTAAAACCGCACGTTATTTTTTCCTTTGCAAAAAGATAGGTGGAAGATTTTTAAATTGGAACAAAAATATACCCAAATTTGCACTTATATTTACTAAAACTTAATTTCAATCGAGTTATGTAAATCCTTTCCCTCGAAATGGAAGGAGGGGAAGGGATTTTCCAATAAAATTAATCATTTTTATTAAGTATAATACGTTTTAATGATAGCTCACCAACTGATTGGCCGTGTGAACTGCGCATCAAATCTATTTTACCACCTGCCATATAAGGTTTCGAAATAATGAAAAAATCAATTTTGTCATCTTCCTTGTGCATTAATACTAGAAGGCATGGAAAGCAGGTTTGCACATATTAGCAACAAAAAATGTTTCTCTAATGAGAATTAAGGCGAATTGGAGCATACTGTGGGTGTGATACGGATTGAATCATCACCATAATACTCACTTTAACCAAAATTTGTCATTGAACTAAAACTAAGAAGTATGCACCCAAAGTTAAAATATCAGTAAAATTTAAAAAAATAGCTTTTATCCTGAAACTCATTTTGATTTATCTTGATTTCAGGCGGCTCCAATTTTGCTTTAATGATAAAAGAGCCAATTACAGACAAAATAGATAAGACAAATCTATTTGTAAATCTCAGACATAAGTGACTGCACACAACGTGCTAGTAGTACATGCACTATGGTTGTTGGGAATGGATTCATAAACAATTCACAAGCGTCTAATAGCCACTAATATTGCCACCTCCACCGCCAGAGACACTGTCTTCTGAGGAGAGACTGAAAACCAATGTCGGTGTTAGGGATCTCTGTGGTTGATCCCTATTTCCTGGATGAGCCAGTGATGTCGCTGAAGTTGCTGTGTGTGGTCGAAGTTGGTGTGTTTGTCGATCTCTGTTCTTCCTCATTACATAAGGTTGATTTCGAATTGGTGAGCTCATGTTGGTGACATTCCCCGTGCTACCCCCGTTGGCACTAACATTTAGTAACTGTTGAACAGGACTATCCTCCCTGCTTTTGTAACCTTCAGAGAAATCTTCATCACCCACGCAGCGCTTCTGATTTCTCCAACTTGTTCCGCAACCGCTGCCACTTCCACTACCACTTCCTCCAACAGCGTTATTATTTTGAACACCAGGACTCGGCAACGAGCGTCTTGGACGACCTTGAGTTTCCATACCACCCCCAAAGGTGGAACTATGTCTTCGAACATTCATGTTATTATTCGCTGAGAGAAATCCTCCATTTTTCGGTGAAGTCAAATTAGATGCATCAGGTAATCGTCGACCTACTCCGATATTTGAAGCACGTTTGTTGTTTGAAGATTTCTGCGTTGTGGTGGATAGTTCAGGGGAAGAGGGTAATGATGAGTTTCCACTCAGCTGTTTCAGAGATTGTGAGAGCGCTGAGGCCTGTAATTCTGGCACATTTAATTCAATGGAATTTGGAGCATTGCTCATGTATAATTGCTTTTCCAATTCGTAGTTTTCCAACTGCAAAGCTCGTAGTTCCCGTCTAAAGTGCAAATGTCTAAACGTTATCTATTGCATATCATTGATATGAATGTGCGTTTCCTGGAAAAGATTAAAATAATGAAGGTTGTTGAGATTCAAAGTGTTGAAATATTACTTTGGGCTGATATGCTTAGGTATCTGGCATGAAAATGAGTAATATGGAAAGCAAGATTGTGTTTCATATGTTCTACTTCTACACTTTTTGAACGTAGCCTCGCACTTGTTTGCCTCTAGTTAGGCTTCTAATAGGATTACTAAGGTTCACCCAAGGGCTCATTTTGGAGCACCTGCTACAAGAACGTTTCTAATTTTTTCCAAATATAATTAAATAGCAGTCCAATAATCTTTAAAATAATATGAAAAGCATTAAAGTTAACAATTTGCTGGAAAAAACGTTGACTAATTCTCGATAATGTGACATAGATTTGCAAGTTCAAATAGCATCTAGAATACTTGGGTAAAAAAATCAAATAACCATTTCAGATAATTGTAATAATGTCGTATCACATTTTCTCACTACTTTATCGTTAAGTACTATCTTTAAAAGCGAAAGTGACAGGTGAAGACACTATCACAAATTTGTACAGACCAAACTAAACACATAAAACGTGATAGGAGATCTGTTTTCGTCACCTTTTCTAGCAACATTTTTTATCGGAGTTTTAAATTTCATATAAACTTAAGGTTTGAGGCTATTACCAAGCATGCGGCAATTAAACAAAACAAAAAAACTTTCTTTTTATTTATCATTGATTTAAATGAATATTTATTGCGCATAAAAAATCCATTTTAAACTTTAGTGCAATTCATTAGTTACTTTCAATGGGAAGACCACTTTTAAAATATAATGTAAAATGCTTCAAATATATCGTTAACGAAGTTCCATGGAATGAGACCTCACAAGTACGATTTTTGCACAAAGCAATAGAAATAATTTCTCCAAGTTGGATTGAAAATTATTACCAATTAACACCAATTTTTTATTAATGTTTCCACACTAGTATTACTTTCAAGTTTAGCTCGTGTCTCAATTTGGAGACATGATGCACTGCATGGACGCATTTGAATGATGACAGTGGGCAGAAAGTAGTCTGTTTAGTTCAAGTTTTAGTAATTTGATCTTGTTTGTGCAAATTTGAGCAAATTTTTGTAATTCATTATCACTTAAAGTTTTAAAATTTAATTAAATCAAATTTAGAACTGCATATCATCTAAGTAGACGGAAAATACTCTGTGACTACTTATTTGATTAAGATGCATTACCTGTGACAATCATTCAATATAATAGTTTTATTTATCGATATTTTGCTTCGCAATAAAATTGCAGCACTGGAGTTTCATATTAATGTTCTTAATAAAATAGAAATTAAAAAATATGCACCACATAAATAGTTAATTAACAGAAAAATTAAGCTTTGTTCGCTAAAGTTAAACATTTTGCTTTTCAATAAGTTGCTTCAATTCACAGGAGAAAGGCAAAGCCGAAAAGCACCTGTACTTTAGTGAATTCTTTTCACACAAAATGTGCTTAATTTAAAAATTCATTATGGACACAATGCCTTTTGCTTTGTTTTGCTGATAGTGTTTACCTCTAAGTCGGTCATAATTTATTAATTCATATCAAATTCTTCTGATTATCGCTTTAATATGAAAGCGCAATTTTATTTAAATATTACTCACACTTTCGGTACTAATAATTTAAATAATATATAAATATTTTTTCTATTGTAAATGTTTTGAAAGTCTAATAATTATGTTTAATAATTATTGAGTTTTTATTCAACAATTTTTGCGAAATCAAAGATGCAAGATACCCTGAAATAAATGTAAAACAAATGACATTAATAGCCATTCCTGTCTTATCGTAAATTATATTTCATTTCTCAAGATTCGAGATTTAATTTCCGTGTTTTGCTAGCAATTTAAATAAGAAAATGAAAAAAACAATTTTTTCTACGTTGACATGCGAATAATGAACGAATTTAATGGTTCTTTGTGTTTTCGAACGCTTAAAACACTTTATAAATTGTATCATGTTAATAATACCACTGATAGTAAACACGTTCTGCTTAAACTCTAGGGAGATACTGATCCATCCAAGTGACACGGCATAGGACCCGATTTAATTAACTGACCAATCAGCAGACATGAGCTTGTAAGAACCACAAGAGCAATTAAGCTTTGAATAACCTTTGTTCAATTTGGTGCATTATACTCCCTTTTGAGAGAGTGTACAAATAGAAGATTCCAGAACGGAAATAAAATAAGATCTCGACATCTTTATTTCATAGCTATCTCCAATCCTAGCCCTCTTTGCATTTACTGAAATATTTTCCTCATTTCGTATGTAGAGATGTTTTTTTGCTTGAATAAGCACATGAAATTATTTTGAGCACATTGAAAAATAGTTTGCCACATCAAATGAAAATTCGCCTCAAGCCTAATCAATCAAATATGAGTGAAAACATTTGTTGAGTTAAATTTCTAGGCATATTTGTTGTGACTACAAGGAATTTGCTAAGACAAGTTTTTTTAGTGCTTGGGATCAGGTTTAGGTCTTAAAATTGTGACTGAAAATTAAATTTGTCAGCAGATTGAGGAAATAATTCCTGCACCATTAGACACCTGTTTCATTCTGTGATTTCAATGTCATAAAACGGATAATTGCGGAAATAAGCCATTAACTTGAAATTTTTTTATTTAATTAAAACAAATTTAAACATTAGAAACGCGACTAGATTACAAAATGACCGGACTTTTTAAATAAAGCATTGCTCGCCTCATTTGATCAAAACTTCAAAGTGCTTTTATAAATTATTGTTTGTAAAATATTTTTAATTTTATTGTAGATAAAGTAAATATAAGCAGACTACATTCCAGACGCTTAATTGTATGACTGAAATTTTGAATATGCGTGAGCTATTTATTTCTGTTATTCCGAAAATTCTGAGTGTTAGAAGAATAATAAAATTTCACTAATATTTGGAATTTCATACAGAACACTTGTTGTTGTCTCTTAAATTAATAAAATAACCGTCCACTTATGGGACTTTGAATTCAGTTATAAATGGGGGTATTAGTTACTAGTTAATTGAACAAATCATTAAAACTCTGGAATACGGCTTTACGAAGGACAATTAAGTTCCCGACCATTCCAATTCACCTATGGAAACACTAATTTCCCCTCAATCATTGAGTACATGTTGCATGGAATCAAAATCATTAGCCTAATGACTTGGGTTAATTAATTTTTTTGGGTCGAGGCATTGGTCTTATTAATGCTTTTCTTCAGTCAATTTAAATTTGATGAAGTATTGAGAAAATAGTACTGAATATATATTGTATTCTATTTATAGCAAACAAAATAGATCTAATCTCAACTAACGTTTTAGATTCTATTCTTGGTTACGTTCTGAAGTAACTGAAGTGCTGAGTGCTGTTACCTATCCCTTAGCGTGAGTTTCTATTGGATCAAAATGCTTTCTACTCATCTTTTAAATAAACGCTGTTTTGGGTAAAGTTTAAACTTTGTCAAGACTTTAACACCTAGGGAACTTTATCTGTATTAAAATTTAAGTAAATTATTTTCATTTGAAAATATGTTTCCCTTCTCGGAGAAAGGGGAGCTTGAACTTGTAACTAAATTTATTACAACTTTTAAATCAATAATTTAAACTTACGCGAGTTGTTTTTTCTGCATATACACAAGGTCATCATAGACATTGTAATTACTCTGATACAGTCTTTGGGATTGAAGCCATTCAATTCGGATTGTCATGGCATTGTCTGTTGGTCTGATGTAACCCGATGATTTATCAATCACCTGAAAGAATAATAATTATTATGGTATCTGATTTATTTAAATATGAATTCTGGTGATCGGAATTGCCAACCACACAGGATAAGTCTGGATAATATGCTGGCTTGAAGAGTCTGAGTCTCTATTTTATTAGTCTTTAGGTAAACATAAATCCGAGGAAACACATTCCTAAGTAAACTTCAAAAGTATAATTGAGAAATCTCGTGAGCTCTGCAATATTTCAAATAAGTTTGCTGCTTATACCACGCTATATAATCTATCAAAAATGCCCCGATTTTGCTATATTATTTATTACTATTTTTGTTATCTCTATATTAGTTGGATAGTAACCAGCGTAGATAAGTCTTTGCTATTAATGAATTTTGAAATTCAATTAAGAGGTTAAGGGAAACTTCAAGTTCTTGTTAATGTCTGCTTAGTACTCTCAATATACCCTTTTATGTTACTCTGTAATGGGTTCTCACGCTTGTAAGTTGATACTGACAAGTGCAAAAATTAAATGTTTTAATGGAAAACATTAAAACATTAAGACCCAAGGCGTAAGGCAAAACGAGGCATAGCTGCGGTGTAAGTAAGTGAAGCGTGTCCATTCTCTGCCTAACATTATTTTCTAACACAAGCCCATGTTTTTTTTCTGTTCAATTATTTACGGTGGGCTAACGTCTAGGCAACATAAACTTAATTTGAATGCAAATTTTTGAGATTCAAAATTACTTCCACTTTAACCAAGTTGTAAGCTTTCTTGGAATTTGGAACCTTGTCAACAAGAAAAATTTGAAACTGAACTTTACTTAATTATTGAAAAACATTTATTTATATCAAATCGCAGGCGTTTTGCTAGTTATCATTGGCCCTTTAATTGACTTCAGGCTTCACAGTGGGTGAGGAACATCAAGGTGAAAAAAGTAGAGAAGGGTGTGGGACAGGTGAGTGATTCAAAGATGTGAAAGAGACATACACAAAGGTAGAAAAAAGGTGAGGTGAGTACCGTGAAAGTAGTTGAATATGACGCTGTGGGGCCATGGTAAGTCTGTCGCACACCTCATTGTTGAGAAATATAATTGTAAAATAGGTTAAAGCTTACCCATTGGACATAATTGAAAGGTGGATATATCAGAACGACTCGAAAGTCAGCTCTCGGCATGAGAACATAAAGTTCCTGAGTAGACCTCAGTCTTTTGAAACTCTTTCAGATAAGGTGCTTGCTCATTCATAATATTATCATTATTATATCAAATGACAGGCGTTTTGATTGTTATCATTAGCCCTTTAGTTGACTTTAGTCATCACAGAGGGGAAGGAACATCAAAGTGTAAAAGAATTCAAGAGGAGGGGGGGGGAACAGAAGAGTGTATCAAAGACGAGGGTAGATTAGGTGGAAAAAAGGTGGGATGAGTACTGTGAAAGTAGTTGAATATGACATACAGTGGGGTCATGGTAGTTTGAAGTCAACTGCCGGTTAATGGACTTTTTTGCCGTACGAGAATACGTTGCCCAGGGTGCACCACGTGGAGGTAAGTCTGATGCACACCCCTCATTCATAATATAATATTGGGCATTCAATAATATCCAAAATGTTATTAAGGAGTTATTTGCAAGAAGTCAGCTGATAGGAACACGGATGCACGCATTTACTCATTCAGTTATAAATTGATTAAACCATTGTCATCGTTCCTTCTTTTCTACCACAGTAGATTATCCTCCACCAACAATTTATGTCATTAATTTTATTTTAAGCACCATCAGAAAAAATTGCATCACTATAAAAAGACTTTTATGGTTGCCATTAAACAATAGTTCCTAATTGTAATTTTGAAGTGAAACTAGCATTGTTTCTGACAATAATGAATTACAATTAAATCAAAGAAATCCAATTGAATACACTTAATTTATGTGAACTTCTACTTTGTCTGTCTGCTAGAAGGAGGTATAGGTTTGTAATTAGTGCCTCCCATTATCTGCTCACTACAAATGCTATTTGAAGACCTTTCACCCTCAAAATTTAAAAATAACGCTACACTTTTGAATAACATCGCGTGACTCTGAAGTGATGTTATTCCGCATCAAGGCGTTACCTACAGGATAGTCTATCGTTCTTTTACGTTTTGATTAGGATGAAAACTTGCTGAAAAAACGTCATTTCCTGCATAAATTTTCCCACTTTATGTTCTTTAGTTATGATCATAATCTAATAAACTAACTTTAGGATTAAATTAGTCTTCCTTTTTCATAATTAATTCAAATAGAACACAAAGTGCACGCATATGTTAATCAGATTAAGAAATGCTCTATTTGCCTCATAGGCTTTGATCAGTATCTTTTAAACATGTTCAATGAATTCACATAAGATAAACGAAAAAGAAATTTCTTATTTTGATTTTAAATTAAGAAATCTATTTCCGATTTTCCTTTCAAAAAATGTTTCAGGCTAATAAATGTGTGGGACTCATGCCTATGACGACAGAGGCAACAAATATTTATATGTTATTTCTATTTTTAAATTGTTTCATAGCCTTGCAAATGGAAACAGTTATCAAGCACTGCCACCGCCCAATCTATTTAGAATCAATGGGCATTATTTTTCATCCAATTAAGGTCAAATTAAATGATATTCACTAAAATATACTGAGAGCAAATTTGAAAAAAATAGATATGATGTCGAGTTGCACTAAAACTCATTTTTTACATTTCAGTTTCCAAGTTTTGAGACAAAGTTATTTCGTCGTTTCTACAAAATAAACTTAATAATAATTTATGGCTACAGTCATTTTTGTTAAATACGTGCAGTTGGGAAAATATATAGCTGAAAATATTTTTTTATTAATTTCAAAAGACAAAAATGAAATGGTTCCGGTGAAAAGAGAGAAAAAAGGGATATTTTTCTAGGGCAAACTACAGAAAGAAACTGAAATTATATGGGCAAGTTGGCATAGATTTACACCAAATTAAAAAAACAGCGAAATTAATTTCATTATGAGGCTTTCTTAAACGAATTTGTGCTTAAAAACCTGGAAGAAATTTAGAACTTTAGGTGGACAAATATGGCTTATTCTTCTTCGCCTTATTGAGCATTTTTTGAGTTCACTAGGAGTTCTCAAGTGAAGGTTACCTTCACTATACATCCAAATTTATTAACCAAGAGTGATCAGTTTAGATTAACTTGTATTCATGTTTTAAAATTAATCAACGTTAAATCCCATCGCATAAAGTGCCTCAACAAATTTCAATCTACTTGCAAACTCAAAATTCACATCTAAGTACTCAGTTTTGTCAATTCATTTATCAAAGTTTTAGAAAATAGTCTTACATGAGATATTTCTTCAGAAAGTAATATCATAGCATGACAATCCATTGCAATGACAAATTAATTGCAATATGGTGATTCAAATACATTGAGCAAGAGGTAAATAATAAGGTTAATTTGGCACTAGGGAGATTGATTTTAATGCAATTTCATAATAAATTGACCTATAAACTCACCAGATTAATTCAGCCAACAATAAAGAAATGCTTAAAATCCTCCTCTTTGTCCAATCTTACAATGATTATCGTAAACACTAGCATGATAAAAATGCAAAATTGAAGTATTCAAACATTTATCCCAAAGTATTCAGCTATCGCGGAGAGAAACGGGCTTATGCCAAAAAGGGCATTTAACGCAGGGAAGTACATGTCAACCCGCCACCCTTTTCCCCTTTCAACCATACTAGCGACGGAAACAAAGGTACTAATTTCAGCGAAAGAGGGCGGTTCTGGCTTGGGCTTATTTAGGCCAACTGGAAAATATTTCAATTTACTCACTTCTAAAGGGCAACGGGGCCGTTATTTCCAATTCGTTTATATTTTTGAAAAGCTGCGCACTGGCAGTAATTACAAAGGGGTCTCATTGTTATTTCTATCTACTTGAAGTAACTATTCGCAGCCTAAAAGCACCGTGGATAATACTGCCATTTCCTGAACTTATGTCCAATTGGTGAGTTGCGTTAAGGGAATCGATAAATAATTCACTATTGCCCAACGGCAAATCATTTATTCAATTACTCGCAAAATGATCATCAGTTGTATGCCAGATTTTTTGAGCGAATGGACGTGAAGCTCCCTGCGAATAATATTTTAACCTAACCAACTCTTTCAGCTCTCAATCACAATGCCTTAATATTATATATATATATATATATATATATATATATATAATTTTTAGTTGCCATTATAATTATGTCTATTTATCAAAGGAATTGTAAAAATTAATTAAAGGGCACAATAATTTTTGACCATTTCTAATACGAATAAATTTGATTGACTCTGCAAAAGCAATACTGGAACCAAACCCATTAAAACTATTTGCAAACGTGTGAGCCACGATTTATTGAGACACTTCTGTGCTCTAATAGCGAAATGTAATATCCGAGCAGTCTAAACACGAAACATTTTACCTACCAAAGGAATAAATATATTTACCCGCCTCCCCCCTCCCCCCCCCCACTTAACAGTCCTCATAAATGGGCAGGGGAAAGTGGGATAAAATGTGTACAGTAGGCAGAACGAAATGTACTTTTCCCCCAGTAACACTATTTTGGTTATTATTCGTGTTTTCAGTTGTGTGAGTATCTAAGAAACTTGGAGACATCGTTCTGTTAATTTATTAACAGTTGTGTTTAGGAAGAGAAAACAGTAGTTACTGATTGTGAGACATAAGTATGATACGAGAAATTTGAATTCTTACCTTTTCAACAGGTAGATCTAAGGCAACTTCTGTGACTTCATCTGGGTGTATCATCATCTGCTGATTATCTGCTGAAAGATCGGCTGACGCCCGCCTGTTATAGTCAGATCCGCTGACAGAGCATCGAAATGTTGGAACATAACTAACGTAGGGAGAGCTTAAAGCCTTCACGACACCTCTTGAGGATTCATGGGGAATCAAATGCACGTTCCATGCCACACATCTCAATTCACAAGGTCTATCAGGCATTTGAGACAATGAGCCATCTTTCGTGATGCCATCATTACTGCTGGTCTGGCCATTGAAGTGGTGGATCTCTACTACAGGAAAGAATCGCAATCGAACCAGAGTTCCAAAAATGTCGCTAAGAACCATCCAGTCATGGCCATCTGGATCTCTACATCGGGCAAAGTTCTTTCCTCCTTGAGGGGCAATTGGAATTAGGTCAATTCGAGAGACAGGAGCCGCAGCTAACATTTCGATTATAATTTTGATCCGCTGTTTAGGTGGCATTTGTCCAGCGGTAAACCATTTTGCATCACCAATTTCACTGCCCGCTGTAGTTGCACCGTTGTCTGCAGTGATGAGATGATCAACTGGTCCGAAACTGGCCTCTCCCAAGGCTCCCCAAATTAAAGTAGCTTTGTAGCGTACGCGACACCAATGATTCGTTCGACTATGACGTTGCAGCTTCATTATGGGACAACCTGTATTGCCAGAAGGTTCGTTGATGCCTTTAACGGGTCGCATGAAAGACGCGATACTGTGCTTTTTATTGTCTATCGTGTTCCAACTTAGAGTTACGTTCCAGTCGGATCCAGAGAACGTAAAACTAGCGGACTCGAACCGATAGCCATCGGCCGTATCCTTTGGAGTGAGTTTAGGATGAGTGAAGCTTTCTTCATAAATAGTAGTGGCGCCTTGGAGTTCCACCTCAATCAACCATGTCCAGTCGTCGAAGTAAAAGTGCTCGGCTGATAAACGGTCTGTGCTAATCCACCCATGTTTCCAACGCAATGGGTCGTCGGCAGTAAAGGCAACGTGTCTTTCTTCGTACGTTCTGTTACAATGAATGGATTCTCGATTAAGAATTGTGTATCGGATCAGCTCCAACTGACAATGCATCCCAGCAAGTCCACCACATAGTCCAAGACCAACACTTAGGGTATTCTTCGGTCCAGTGGACTTTTGAATCTCGTTTCCATTTGCTCCACCGTCATCACTTGACTTTGAAGAAGAATCCTCTTGCTGAAGACAGAGCTGTAACTGCCAACTCTGCCCACCATAAGGAAATTCTTTTGATTGGGCTGTATTGATAAAACGGCGAGTTAACTGAGACGGTACAATGAAGGTAAACACCTGGCTATCGGCCTTATCCCCCAAACGAACAAACCGATGTAACTGAATACAATTGGACTTAGCCGCAACAGAACTGAAACTCTTCATGTTCAAAAATGAAAATGACTTGGCCGCATCTTATTTTCATTTGCAGTAGGCATACCTCAACAACGCTACTCTTGATTGGAGGAATGATTGTTGGCCAATGAGTGAACAGTACTCAAAGGTCGTAGCGAAGTGTTTACTTAACCGGCTGCGCTAACAACAGAGTGTGGCTTCACCACGTGAATTTCACAAATCAGATAATGAGAGTCCTTGTTTATTACTCTGCTTGGCATTAAGCTCAGACTCAAGAGTCGTTAAAATACATGGGCTCTCTCTCTCACAATTTGATTCATAGTGGTATAGGGTGGAACTGTATGATGGCTTTTTAAGGGGGTCTCAATGTGTCCTCCCAAAAATTTAAATCTTTGTTAGATTTTTTATCGTCTTTTCAAATAAGTAGATCTCAGTTTACATCCTCCCTCTAATTCTTTGTAATTGTGCTTTCACCGAGTTTAACATCTTGGAATCATGTTGTTTATTAAAGTGCATATTGTGAGAAAGTTCCTGGCCCCAGAATTATAAGATAAGACAAAAACATTAGAAAGTGAAATATGACTTAAAAAACACAAAGTGACACGTTAAATATTTGATGGAAGAAATCTTTGGTTCCTGACAGCGTAGAACTTTCGCAAATTTGTTCCTCAAAATGCTCACAGCTTAAATGAGAGAATATAAACGGAAAAACCAGAACACTCTTTTGTTAAGCACAACTTAATAAACAAATAGTTAACTTGAAGCGAAAATGACCAATGAGCTCGCTATAATTAACAAAAGTACTCTAGTGCCATCTATAAATTGTGCGGTTAATTAAAGAGAAATTGAATTAATTCGATTGTCTTTTCTATGCCTAAAGGCTCACTGGAATCAATAGAATTTTGCTTCAGGCTGTCGAAAGATTCTATTGCCGACAGTTAACTGGATTAATTATTTGAATTTCAAATTAATTAACTTTTCTGTTTTATATTTAATAGATCATCTATTGCTTCGTAACCAGTGAAATCATTGGTTACTCTTTGGGATCTCGGTTTCCGATTAAAGTTAATTTGTATGGAGAATGATCTTAGAAATCAGCTTGACCAATACGATTGAATCAAGCAAAACTATAAGCATCTTAGACATTCTCAGTAAGCGTTTTACTGTAAAGTGAATTCTATATAGTGCTCATGTTTATGTAAGCCTCCAGATCATACTATAAGTAGGCGTAAAGTGCTAAGTATATGAATATATAAAGAAGTAAAGACTCTCTATTGTGTCTCTCCTTCAATATTCCTGTTGCTTGTTCAACTATTCGATTTTTCGCACCATAGTGGTGCCAGCAATCGAAATCATATTAATTGAGTTAAAGTTCCCTTTGGACATCTTGTTGAAAGACATCGTTCCCACCTGTCCACTATCCATTGACTAACACGAATAGCCATCCAAATAGTACTTCTTTTATAAACAATATTTTTATCAATTTATTTAAAGTATGAATAAAAAAGGAGGTGTTTATATGCAAGAAAATTTTCCTCGATATCAATAAAGAGTATTTTTAATTGGATTTATTGCGGAGAAAATTATTTACCTATAATTGGAAAATAGGGAGCATTGCCAGTTGAATAATTAGTAATTGATTAAAATACAATCAACTCTTCTTATATTTAGGCAAAGCTTCCTCGTGTGAATAAATTTTGATCTGTTTCATCTCATGCATTTTGATTAAAAACACAGCGCCAATAATTATTCCTAATAAATAAAGAAAGTTCAACCAATAAATACTTTAGATGTTTGTAAACAAATAAGGTTCATTTTCGTGCTAATGGTGAAGTGAAGAAATTTTTTCTATGTTCTGACAAGAATCAATAAAATAACGAAGTTGGAGTAATTTAAACCTGCACTCCAAATTTTATAAAAATAGCGTGCATGCGCGCTCCAATTTGTAGGACTACTCGATCGCCCTATGTGCTGTTAAAATCTTATCAACGAATGATGAATTCTCCAACTGTCAACTGACTCATCTTACCCTCAGAATGCCTATTTTTGCCAACTCTAATTGTCCTCCCTTAGTACCAGAAGCTTCTTCATACTAACCTTCCCCCTCCCCTCCCCTCACCGACTCCCCCATTTATTTCCAGTGGTTCAAAGTGCTGGGTGGACTTCTTACTCTGAAATTAATTTCCTATCCTCTTCGCCATGGGATGATCGTTGATTGTCTCTGTTCCGAAACTTGCTTTACTGCCAACATTAGAGTTCCTTAAAATTAATCCCTCCCTTTCAGATTATCATTCAACCACAGTAAAATCGCCTCTACACTGGGTGGTAAAATTTTTTTGTTCGCATGACAAAGCAAAAAAATTTAATTGTGGATGAATATCAAAATTGAAGATAATAGATTACCAGCCTGAGGAGAAAGAAAATTACAAATTTAGTGGAGTGGAAATATCTAGGAAATTTCAATTTTCTTGAGCAAAAAAAAATTAAAAACTTTTGGTCTATTGCATTAATGCGCATTGGGGTTCATTTGATGGAACTCGATTAAGCTCCACTGAATTAAAAGATTGCACATAATTTTCCAAAGCGGTTTGACTTAGCGTTTTAGTAAATCAATCACACCATAAATATAAACATTATGGATCTGAAATCAACTAAAATCTTCCAAGTTTTGGGAAAAAATTCTAATTTTTAGTCATTAGAATACGCCATAGTGTAAAATACGAACATTCGATTTCTCATAGCATTCAAACTTGATCTTTCTATCTGCCATACAGTTTCAATAAACCACTTAACTTTTCAAATCTTACTAATATTGATAGTAGGATTCATCTGGTGAGGTGAATAGTAATGGACCCATTGCCTTAGTTTCTGAGCGTTGGAGTTTGTTGTATTTTAGTTACACAATTTTTTTTCAAAATTTAAATCGCCAACAGAAAGAGTAACTAAGTTTAGTCTTTTTTCGGGAATCATGGCGTGATTAATTCTCATGTGCAATCACTTTGCCTTTTTATCTACAAGGATACATTGGTGTGAAACCGTTACATGTGAAATGAAGCTGTGTTGATTAATCCCGATAGATATTTTTTGGGTTGGGGAAGGGTGGAGAGGGTAGGGTAGGGTAGGGTAGGGGGAGCAAATGTATCACATGACTGTGAGCTATGGGTAGAAGATTTATAACGCACTCTGGGACTCAAAACTTGGAAGTAGATTTTCAATAGAGATTAGGACTAATGTAATATTTCGTTTGCAGATTGCACTCATTCAAGTCTGTGGAATTCTGAAAATGAGAAAATTGTGCAATCACAACCTCTCCTAGTCAGCTGGAAAGAGTGCAAAAATTTGATTCAGGCGAAGGCGAGGTATTGACAAACTACATCATGCTTGTCAGTTGAATAAGCCTAAAATTAATTAGGTAGATAGAGAATTTAAACGATGCAACAGATCACTTCAAAATCATTCCAGTTTATAATCTCCTTAGGTGTATGTTTCCACTATACATAAATACAGGATTCATTAAGTTTATGCAAAGTACTTATCTTCATAAGGTATCCAAGTTAGATGGGATGAACGTGTGGGTAAAAATAAAAGCTTCAATACATAGTGAAATTGAATTCAACTGCAGCAATTATTTGCAGTGAAGGTTAAGTAGCCTAACCGTTTTGTTTATTCAAGGCGTACAATTTCTGCAACTATTGAATTTTTCAACTCTAAAGAAAAAATGCCTTTGATGGTATCAATAGTGCTTCAATAATCGAAATCAATGACAACTGTCTACTTTTCCTACTTAACTCCGTATTACTATTTTGAATAGAGTGACAAATCAGCCTGTTTTTTTCCAAAATGAGCATTTTTTTCTCATGCCAATGTTTACAAGAGCAATGGGCGTTTCACCGAAAAAATTCATTTACATTGATGGCATTTGCGAAAAAGATAAACACGAACGACGCTCACATTACTCTTTACGTCATAAAGACTTTCTAATTAATAATAAATGTACTATTCATATCCGTTAAATCGAAATATAGCTTTATAACTAAAAGACGTCCCGCGAAATTGTAAACGTGACGCTCAATTAGAATTTGATTATTTCACAAGCATAGAAAATGTTTGGCAAATAAGATATTGTTGATTTTCACCGCCTCTTCTCAAACAGACGTCCATTTTGGTCCAAACACTGCTAACAACGCAAATCGATAGTATCGCCCCACATCATGGAATAATTCTCTTAGGAGTTGAACACATTCATGCCCAATGGCTTCTCTTACTTCAGTGACTGTTGCAGGTTTCGTTGAGAAGATTTGTCTTTTAAGTGTCCCCGTAAGAACTAATTCAGTGTTTCGAGGTCTGGTGAAAGGGGAGGATATTCAACGAAACCTCTCCGTCCAATCCACCCGCTTGGCAAGAACTCATCAAGTAAAGATCTAACATAGCGATGGTAATGTGGGGGTGTCCTGTCTTGCTAAAAATAAAATCAGTTACAGTAGCGCCAAAATATAACGGTCCAGTTAATCCTGTTGATGATAAACCTCACCGCACTATAATTCCAGATAAATTGGCATGAAGGTCGACAGTAGCGTGTGGGTTTCGGATTTCCAATAGGTATAATTATGGCGGTCAATGTAACCATTTACCTTGAATGAAATAATAATAATAAACACAATGTTTACAATTATTTTAAGTGTGCATACATTTTTGGGTCACACTATATTTAAGGATTATATTACTTGTTTTCCCATTTTTTTATCCAAAATAATGCTCCAATCTGAAATAATTTCTTAGCTCACATAAATGTTTGCGTAGGTTAAGGGACTTCAACCGCCCCCTCATATTTACTTGCCTCATCACTACGATCCAATTAATAAAAATTTATGTGAAACTACGCTGACTTCAGTTTGAAAAAAAAATCGAAACTGATCGATTGAGACAGTCCAAATGAAGGTTCGCACGAATATATATTTATTTGAAGAGATATACAGCGCAAATAGATTATTTTGTCCGAAACAATAAGGCAAATCAATGCCCAAACTTGA